TTACAATTTTATTGATTTTGCTAATCTGGCTGCTGACCAATAAATGGTAGCGTCTTTGATGCCAGTTAGCAATGTTAAAGTCGTTTTTGTTCTAAAACCAAAAAAAAAAAAAAAAAAAAAGACATATGAACAAAGATCTCTGTGACATGAATAAGTTTAAAGGAAAATGCTGTGCCTTGAGATGCATATGCAAACATCTCCATAAACCTTTCAGCAGCATTGTTTCAGTCTATCACATGGGGAGAAACCTTGGACAACACCTAGCTTTCCTAGGCAGAGGTCCCTGGACCTTTGGCCTTAAGAGAATGGTGATGACTTTTAACCAGCAAGCTGCCTTCAGGCACTTGTTTAACAAAGACACATCCTGCACAGCCCAAAATCCATTAAACCTTGAGTCACCACAGCGCATGTCCTTGCAAGGACAAGGTTGGGGGTAGGGTCACAGATTAACAGCATCTCAAATACAGAACAAAATGGAGTCTCTTATATCTACTTCTTTCTATGTAGACACAGTAACAGGCTGATCTCTTTCTTTTCCCCACATGTGAGGCTATGGCACAGGAATTAGGTGTGTTGATTCTAAGCCCTAAACAGCATTATTTTTGATATTAGGATTCACTTTCAAAGAGACATATTATGCAAGGAAGCAATTCAGAAGAGGAAAGAAAAGAAGTCAGGAATGGCCCTCACTCATGTAAGGTAATATTCTCAGTGGATTCTTCTGTCTCTGTTTCTTCCTGAAATGCCAGGCATTGGAGTTGCCAATCTCTGACTCTGAAGGATCCTGCCTGACTCATTTCATTGCACTTACCCATGGCTTCTTCCAGTTCCTTTCACTTCCACTTAGGATTCCAGTTCCCTATTACCCAGTGACATGAACTTGGGAAGAGGTCCCCTGGGCATGGACCTGCAAGGGGCTCACATCCAGACATGGAAGGAGATGGGGTGAGGGCCCTGTGGTGTCAGTACTGTTGGGCAGCAGGGATTGTTCAGGGGCCACATCTGGATGCACTGAGAGTGTTCTGTGGACTAGGATTAGAGAAGCTGCATGTGGAATTCCTTTTTTTTTTTTTTTTTTTTTTGTTTTGAGACAGAGTCTCACTCTGTTGCCCAGACTGGAGTGTGGTTTTGTGATCTCAGCCATATACATGTATATGTGTACTAATGTATATGAGTGTTAGTATATATAAGTGTGTACATGCGATATGTTTGCATGAGTGCACAGATGAGCAAGCCTATAGTGTTTTATAAATAGCATGTCATAATTTTATGTTATATATATTTTTATCAGTTAAAATTATATCTATTTATCAGGATATTCAAATTTTTCTGCATTATGTTAATGAGGCAATGGCTAAAAGAATCTTATAGTAATGTATTATGGGGATATCTATTATATATATGCACATATGATGAACTTTTAGGCAATTCCATGTTTTTAATCCTTGAAGTTGTTTTGAATTTACTGAATTAGGTAATTGTCAATTGACTTTTGATGCTGATCTGTTACTTAACTGTTTGGTTCTTTAGGTTTGATTCTCATGCTCAGAGACCTGGGATCTGGTGCTTACTCTGCTGTTTCAGCCCTCACACCTGGGGCAAGCTAGCGTGCATGTGAAAGAGTTGTCTCTTCAGTAAGATAGGAACAGATCATTCTTTCATTGTCTTTTGTTGCTATACCAGTTAGTTCATGTAAATCATTTAGAATAGTGCCTATCACATGGGAAGTGTTCTATTCAGCCATTGCTACTGTTATCATCACAGTTTTCAGATTTTGGCCATTTTAAAATTTTATTTGGTCTTGAACTCCTGAGCTCGTGATCCACCCGCTTCGGCCTCCCAAAGTGCTGGGATTACAGGCATGAGTCACCACCCACGGCCCAGATTTTGACCATTTTTAAAAACCACTATAGGTCGGATGTGGTATCTCATGCCTGTAATCCCAGCATTTTTGTAGGCTGAGGTGGGAGGATTGCTTGAGCTTAGGGGTTTGAGACCAGCTTGAACAACCTGATGAGACTCTGTCTCTACAAAACATACAAAAATTAGCTGGGCATAGTGGTGTGAGCCTGTAGTCCCAGCTACTCGGGAGGCTGAGGTTAGAGGATTACTTGAGCCTGGGAGGCAGGAGTTTCAGTGAGTCGATATCACACCCCTGCATTCCAGTCTGGGAAACAGAGTAAGATTCTATCTCAAAAAAAGAAAGAGCACTGTAGACATTGTCATCTCTGAAGACACTACTTGTATCTCAGGTAGATACTAAATATCACTTGATGTGTCAAAAATAATACCTCACATTTCTTTTTCTTTTCTTTTCTTTCTTTCTTTTTTTTTTTTTTGAGATGGAGTCTCGCTCTGTTGCCGAAGCTGGAGTACAGTGGTGCGATCTCGGCTCACTGCAAGCTCCACCTCCTGGATTCACGCCATTCTCCTGCCTCAGCCTCCTGAGTAGCTGAGATTATAGGCACCCCCCACCACGCCTGGCTAATTTTTTGTATTTTTAGTAGAGATGGGGTTTCACCGTGTGGCCAGGATGGTCTTGATCTCCTGACCTCATGATCCACCCGCCTCTGTCTCCGAAAGTGCTGAGATTACAGGCGTGAGCCACCGTGCCCGGCAATAATACCTAACATTTCTGTAGAGATAACCCTGGTTTAATTTTTTGTTTGTATTACTTGTATTATCCACAAAATGAAACATGTACTCTGATTTAAAGAATGTCCCCACTTCTTATGGAAAAGTGTAATAAAACACAATCACAGACACATAACTAACTCAAGAATACGTTAATGTGGATTTGTCACAATGCTCACTTCAATGCAGTCAATCCTTCCAACTATCTTCTCATTCTCTTTGAAGATAAGTACTCTCTCCATATCCTGTTTTTGAAATGTGGATTTCCTTTTAGGGACAATTGTTATTCAGGGATGTGGCCATAGAATTCTCTCAGGAGGAGTGGAAATGCCTGAACCCTGGGCAGAAAGCTTTATACAGGGATGTGATGTTAGAGAACTACAGGAACCTGATCTCCCTAGGTGAGGATAATGTTCCTCCAGAAGCCTGGATCTGCTCTGGTATATCTTTTTACATTTTCTCTTGTCTGTCTCTTGGGAGCCCCTGCATTGCTTGACTGAGATTGAAACCTGTTGACTGAGAAATGAAAAGCATTATCCTTTCTGGACTTGAGATGTCCCCTTACACCAGCCTGGTCCACATGGTGAAACCCCATCCCTACTAAAAATACAAAGATTAGTCAGGCGTGGTGGTACATGCCTGTTGTAGTCCCAGCCACTCGGGAGGCTGAAGCAGAAGAATTGCTTGAACCTGGGAGGCAGCGGCTGCAGTGAGCTGAGATCATGCCACTGCACTCAAGCCTGGGCGACAGAGTGAGACTCTGTCTCAAAAAAAAAAAAAAGTCCCCTTTCTTCAGATATTCTGCTTCCTTCATGATTCGTCATTGGTGGCACCACTGCTGAAGTAAGCATGAAACCTTATGACAGACTTAATAATTATTCAGTTCCCTGTTTTATACCCCTGTGCTTTTGTTTCAGTAGTTCTTAAAAGGGGGCTTGATGTCTACATGTTACAATGTTCCCTCAGCATTCAGAAGGTGGCAGTCAGTGGATGAATTTGTGAAATATTCTTGATTAATTTGTAATAGGCTCTCTCCTACCTAAATATAGGGCTTGGACTTCGGAGATGCCACAGCACACATTTATTCTTTCTTTTTATAAATAGGAATCTGTCTTCCTGACCTGAGTGTTATCTCCATTTTGGAGCAAAAGAGAGATCCCTGGACTCTGCAGAGTGATGTGAAAGTAGCAAACAATCCAAATGGCAGGGAGTACATCAAAGGTGTGAAAACAGGTGAGAATTCGGGTGGGCAGAGTGGAGGCCCCATAATTTTTGTTTTTTGAGACAGGGTCTCACTTTGTCATCTATGCTAGAGTGCAGTGGCAATCATAGCTCACAGCAGCCTTAAACTCCTGGACTTAGGGATGATCCTTCTGGCTGGTCTTCCAAAATGTTGGGATTACAGGCTTGAGCCACTATACTCTGCAAAGCCACACTATTACATAGTGTTTGGGAAACTCTGCAAGTGGGAGAATTCTGTGGGAAAACCAAAGTTGAAATCCTTTGAGTTGTGAACAGACAATTGTCTTTTTTTTTTTTTTTTTTTTGAGACGGAGTCTTGCTCGGTCGCCCAGGCTGGAGTGCAGTGGCCGGATCTCAGCTCACTGCAAGCTCCGCCTCCCGGGTTCACTCACGCCATTCTCCTGCCTCAGCCTCCCGAGTAGCTGGGACTACAGGCGCCCGCCAGCACGCCAGGCTAGTTTTTTGTATTTTTTAGTAGAGACGGGGTTTCACCGGGTTAGCCAGGATGGTCTTGATCTCCTGACCTCGTGATCCACCCGTCTCGGCCTCCCAGAGTGCTGGGATTACAGACTTGAGCCACTGCGCCTAGCCTGTTCTCTTGTTTTTCATGATTTCCCATGTTTGTTATCCTCATTCTTTTCACGTATTATTTTTCTCATTTTATTTAATTTTCTGTCTCTGTTATCTTTTATTTTTGTATCTGGAGTTTTATTTATTTATATATTTATTTGTTATTCTTTAAGCCATATTTTCTTATCTTTTCATAGGCCTTTATAGTAGTTTTTGGTTTAGGTTTGGGAAAACAACCACTTTTTTCAGTTATTTTTTATAATGTGCTGTGGGAGACCTTACTTCTTGTAAGGGTATATGAACACTCGATTCTTTTCTGGGCTATATCTTTCCTGACTTTGTGAAAGTAGTATTACAAATGTCTACACTGCTGCTCTTAAATATCTTATTTTCCTTAAGAGACTTATCCCTGCTTTTTCACAGAAGCTGTTAGTTTCTCTTTTATTTTTCTGCTTATAATCTCTCTCAAACCCTCCCATAGTTCCTCTGACTCCTGCAGATTCCAGATGCTCCAGTACATCACCTCACTCCCTTGTGTTTTCTGCATTACCAACATGTTATACAGAGTATGCTGATACTGGCCGGGCATGGTGGCTCATGCCTGTAATCCCAGCACTTTGGGAGGCTGAGGCAGGTGGATCATGAGTCAGGAGTTTGAGACCAGCCTGACCAACATAGTGAAACCCCGTCTCTACTAAAAATACATAAAGTTAGCCAGGCGTGGTGGCAGCCACCTGTAATCCCAGCTACTCGGGAGGGAGAATTGCTTAAACCCAGGAGGCAGAGGTTGTAGTGAGCTAAGATCACACCATTGCACTCTGGCCTGGGTGACAGTGTGAGACTCCATCTCAATAAAAGCGAAGTATGCTGATACTTTCAATGTCTGAGTCAAGTGATCCAGAATCTTGTTTTCTGTCAGACTTTAAACATGCCAGAATCAGGGATTAAGTTCCAATGTTTTCTTGCTTTTCTAGAGAAGAGTTCTAAATTGGGAAGCAATGCAGGAAATAAGCCACTTAAAAATCAACATGGATTAACTCTTCAGTTACATCTAGCTGAATGGCAGCCACTTCAAGCTGTAAGGAATATTTATGGATGTAAGCATGTTGAAAAATCTATCAGTGACAATTCTTCAGTTTTACCAGTTCAAATAAGTTTTTCCAATGTCAAAACCCATATTTTTAATAACTACAAAAATGATTTTGTTTTTTCTACAATACTCCCACAAGAACAGAAAATACACATTAGGGGAAAACCTTATGGATGTAAAGAGCATGGCAAAGTCTTCAGAGCGTCTTCAAGCCTTATTAACCATCAAGTAATCCATATTGCAGATGTACCTTACAAACAAAGTGACTGTGGCGAGATCTTTAGTAGCAATTCAAACCTTGCACAACATCAAGGAATCCATACTGGAGAGAAGCCTTACAAATGTAATGAATGTGGCAAGGTCTTCAATCAGAATTCATACCTTGCACAACATCAGAAAATTCATACTGGAGAGAAACCTTACAATTGCAATGAATGTGACAAAGTCTTTAGTCACCATGCCTACCTTGCACAACATAGGAAAATTAATACTGGAGAGAAGCCTTACAAATGTAGTGAATGTGGCAGAGCATTTAATGTGTGTTCCAGTCTTACTGCTCCTCTTGTAATCCATACTGGAGAGAAACCTTATGATTGTAAGGAACGTGGCAAGGTCTTCAGTCACAAGTCTTCCCTAACCATTCATCGGACAATTCATACTACACAGAGACCATACAAATGTAAGGAGTGTGGCAAGGGCTTTAGTCGAATTGCATTCCTTGTGAGGCATCGGAAAGTTCATACTGGAGAGAAACCTTACAAATGTAATGAGTGTGGCAAGGTCTTTATTGGCAATTCACGCCTTGCACGACATAGGAAAATTCATACTGGGGAGAAGCCTTGCAAATGTAATAAATGTGGCAAAGCATTTAGACAGTATTCAGATCTCACTGCCCATTTTCTAATCCATACTGGAGAGAAACCTTATGAATGTATAGAGTGTGGCAAGGTCTTCGGGCACAAGTCTTCCCTAACCTATCACTGTAGAATTCATACTGGAGAGAAGCCTTGCAAATGTAACGAATGTGGCAAGGTCTTCCGTCAGAATTCACACCTTGCACGACATAGGAAAATTCATACTGGAGAGAAGCTTTACAAATGTAATGAATGTGGCAAGGTCTTCAGTCAGAATTCACACCTTACACAACATAGGAATATTCATACTGGAGAGAAGCCTTACAGTTGTAATGAATGTGGCAAGGTCTTCAGTAGGAATTCACACCTTTCACGACATAGGAAAATTCATACTGGAGAGAAGCTTTATAAATGAAATGAATGTAGCAGGGTCTTCAGTCAGAATTCACACCTTGCACAACATAGGAATATTCATACTGGAGAGAAGACACATTTGTAATGAGTGTTGCAAGGTCTTTAGTAAAAACTGAATCCTGGTACAACATTGGAGAATTCATACCAGAGAGAAGCCTTAAAAATTTAGTGAAGCTGGCAGGGCACAGTGGCTTACACCTGTATTCCCATTACTTTGGGAGTCCAAGGTTGGTGGATGATGGGGTCAGGAGATCAAGACCATCCTTGCTAACATGGTGAAACCCTGTCTCTACTAAAAATCAAAAAAAAAAAAAAAAAAAATGAGCTGGCTATGGTGGCAGGTGCCTGTAGTCCCAGCAACTTGGGAGGCTGAGGCAGGAGAATGGCATGAACCTGGGAGGTCGAGCCTGCAGTGAGCCGAGTGAGCCACTGTACTCCAGCCTAGGCAACAGAGTGAAACTCCGTCTCAAAAAAAGAAAAAAAAAAATTTAGTGAAGCTGTCAGGCGTGGTGGCTCATGCCTTTAATCCCAGTACTTTGGGAGGCTGGGCCGGATCACCTGAGGTCGGAAGTTCGAGACCAGCCTGACCAACATGGAGAAATCCTTTCCCTACTAAAAATACAAAATTAGTTGGCTGAAGTGGCAGGCACCTGTGATTCCAGCTACTTGGGAGGCTGAGGCAGAATTGCTTGAACCCAGGAGGCCGAGGTTGTGGTGAGCCAAGATCGCACCATTGCACTCCAGCCTGGGCAAGAGGAGCAAAAAAAAAAAATTTGGTGAAGCCTTACAAAAGTAATAAATATGGCAAAGAATTTCTTACGAAATCAGGCGTCTCTATCCATCTGTTAATCCATACTAGAAGGAAACCTTACAAATGTAAAGAATACATGAAGGTCTCCAGGCTTATGTTTCCCCTGACCTCTCATCAAGAGAATTCACGCTGGTGATCGACTGTAAACATGTAACAAGTGTAGCAAGGTCTTCACTTAAAATATACACCTTGTAAACTATCTTAGAATCCATACTGGAGAGAAACCTTACAAATGAATGTGGCATCTTCAAATAAAATGCACACCTGGCACAACATTGGAAAATTCATACTGCAGAGATAACTTTTAAATGTAATGAATGTGACAAGGTCAAAGTCACAATTCACTCCTTGTACATCAAAGAATTCATACTGGAGGCTGGGTGCAGTTGCTCATGCCTGTAATCCCAGCACTTTGGGAGGCCAAGGCAGATGGATCAGTTGAGGTCAGGAGTTTGAGACCAGTCTGACTGACATTTTGAAACCCCATCACTACTAAAAACAAAAAAATTAGTCAGGTGTGGTGGTGGGTGCCTGTAATCCCAGCTACTCAGAAGGCTGAGGCAAGAGAATCACATAAACCCGGGAGAGGGAGGTTGCAGTGAGCCAAGAATGTGCTACTACACTCCAGCCTGTGTGACAGTGTGATTCCATCCCCCCCCCCCAAAAAAAAAAGAATTCATACTGGAAGGAAGCATTACAAATGTAATGAATATGGCAGAGTATTTAGAGGGTGTTCAGGTCTTACTGTTTATCTTGTAATTCATAGTGGAGAGAAGTCTTTTTTTTTTTTCTTTTTTTAAGAAACAGAGTCTCGCTCTGATGTTCAGCCTGGAGTGCAGTGGTGCAATGTCAGCTAACTGCAACCTCCACCTCCTGGGTTCAAGCGATTCTCCTGCCTCTACCTCCCAAGTAGCGAGGACTACAAGCACATGATGCCATCATGCCTGGCTACTTTTTTGTATTTTTAGTAGAGACAGGTTTTCACCATATTAGCCAGGCTGGTTTCAGACCCACCTGGGTAACATAAGGACAACTCCACCTCTACAAATAAAAAAATTTGCCAGGTGTGTTGGTACATGTCTGTATTCCCAACTATTTGGGAGGCTGAGGCAGAAGGATCATTTAAGCCTGGGAGGTTGAGGCTGCAGTGAGTCATGTTTGCAGTGCTGAACTCCAGTCTGGGTGACAGAGTGACACCCTATCTAGAAAAACAAAGAAACAAATCAGCGAACAAACAATGTGAAAGGTCTTCAGTCACAAGTATTCCTTAACCAATCACCATAGAATTCATACTGCAGAGAGGCCTTACAAATTCAGTGAATGTGGCAAAGCATTTAGATAATGTTCAGGCCTTATTGCCCATCTTGTAATCCACACTGCAGACAAACCTTACAACTGTAATGAATGTGGCAATGTCTCCAATTGAAATTCACACCTTGCAATCACCACATAATGGAGAGAAACCTTACTAATGCAAATCACCACATAATGGAGAGAAACCTTACAAATGCAATGTACACGGTAAGATGTTTTAGTCACAATTCACACCTTGGACAGCATCAGATAATTTATTCATGAAAGAGTCCTTACAAACTGTGTATGGAAATCTCATCATGAGCTCTAGCATTAATGAACATCAGAGATTGCATACCAAGGAGAAATCATATAAATGTAATGTATGTGACCCAGGCTTTCCTGAGGCCTTCCAAATCACTAGAAATCAAAATACACTTCTTGGATAAAACCACACAGATGGATTGTGTATATTGAGGATATCCAAGGACCATTACTGGAGAACATGATAGAATTTAATTATTCTTATCTTTTTTCCTATAAGTGTTGGGAACAGGCCCCCAAATCTGGCCAGAAACAGGCTCCAAAACTGGCCAGAAACAAAATCTGTAGTGCTGTGATATGTTCTTGATGGTCATCACGCCCACCCTGAAGGTTGTTTGTTTACCAGAATGAGGGCAAAGAATACCTGGCCCACCCAGGGCAGAAAGCCGCTTAAGGTTTCCCTGAACCACAAATAATAGCATGTGCCATCTGTGCCTTAAGGACATGTTCCTGCTGCAGATAACCAGAGCCCATCCCTTTGTTTCTCATAAGGAATGCTTTTATGTAATCTATAATCTATAATGCTTATCACTGGCTTACTATCAATGAATATGTGGGTAAAACTCTGTTCGTGATTCTCAGTTCTGAAGGCTGTCAGCCCCCTGATTTCCCACTCCACACTCTATATTTCTGTGTGAGTGTCTTTAAGTCCTTTAGCACCGCTGGGTTAGGGTCTCCACCACTGAGCTGGTCTCAGCACAAAGCTCCTTGGGATCTTGATATGTGCCTCCTACAAGCCTTTCACTGTGGTCTCTGGGAAAGAATCAATTGAAAGAATCAATAGGATGACAGGGCTGATTTCACTAGCTGGAGATAATTTCTATTCAGTTTCCTGGAAGAACAACACTGCCTTTTTATATTAAATGTTGTCTGATTTAGACAGCAGGGACATGGGTAGAGAATAACATAAAATGATGACTGCATGAAGCAGTCAGGCTTATTGCCTTCCGCCCACCCTTTTCTTGACAAGGGTGTAGTGCTTCTGTGCTCTAATAGCCATAAAATAGAGCATGCCATTAAAGGCATGACATTTTTATGGGAAGAGAATAATTGTTGTTCGGTACTGATTACATGGTAGAAATCATGCAGGGGAAGGGGTGATTACCTCCTCAATTGAATAGCAATAGTTCCTGTTTAGCAAAGATGGAAAACAGTAGTCTTATTTTTGAAGTGGAAGAGAAAACATGCATTTTCTCTTAAGTCTGAGCGCACAGAATGGAATGTTACTAATTTTCGATAACCTGATGACAGTGTGCTTAGGTGATTATCTTTTTGGGATGAATTTCCCATGTGTTCTTTGAGCTTCTTATGTTTGGATGTCTAGGTCTCTAGCAAGGCTGGGAAAGCTTTCCTTAATTATTACCCTAAATATGTTTTCTAAACTTTTAGATTTCTCATCTTCCTCAGAAATGCCGATTATTCTTAGGTTTCATTGTTTAACATAATCCCAGACTTCTTCAAGGCTTTGTTCATATTTTCCTATTTTTTCTTTGTCTTTGTTGGATTGCGTTAATTCAAAAACTTTGTCTTACTTTGGGAGGCTGAGATGGGCAGACCACAAGGTCAGGAGTTCAAGACGAGTCTGGCCAATATGGTGAAACCCCATCTCTACTAAAAATACAAAAATTAGCTGGGTGTGGTAGTGAGTGCCTGTAGTCCCAGCTACTCCGGGGGCTGAGGGAGAAGAATTTGCTTGAACCTGGGAGGTGGAGGTTGCAGTGAGCCGAGATCTCGCCACTGTACTCCAGCCTGGGCGATGGAGTGAGACTCCATCTCAAAACAAACAAAAATGCCTTGTATTTGAGCTCTGAAATTCTTTCTTCTGCTTGTTTGATTCTTTTGCTGAGACTTTCCAGAGTGTGTTGCATTTCTGTAAGCACATCCATTGTTTCCTGAAGTTTTGATTGTTTTTTATTTGTGCTATCTATTTAACTGAAATTTCTCTCCTCATTTATAGTATCATTTTATTTCTCTAGTGCCTCCTTGATTAGCTTAATAACTGACCTGATTTCAGGTAAATCAGGGATTTCTTCTTGGTTTGTATCCAATGCTGGTGAGCTAGTATGATTTTTTGGAGGATGTTAAAAAATCTTGTTTTGTTATATTACCAGAGTTGGCTTTGGTTCCTTCTCATTTGCTTAGGCTGTGTCAGAGGGCACGTCTAGGGCTTAAGGCTGTTGTTCAGATTGTCACGCGGAGTGTTCCCTTGATGTAGTACTCTCCCCCTTTTCCTAGGGATGTGGCTTCCTGAGAGCCGAGCTGTAGTGATTGTTATCTCCTATCTGGATGATCTAGCCAGCAGCAGATCTACCAGGCTGCAGGCTGGTACTGGGAGTTGTCTGCACAGAGTCCTGTGATGTGAACTGTCTGTGGGTCTCTCAGCTGTGGACACCAGGACCTGCTCCAGTGTAGGTGGCCGGGGGGTGAAATGGACTCTCTGAGGGTCCTGAGTTTTGATTGTTTAATGTACTAATTTTGTTCTGGTTGGCCTTCTGCTAGGCCTCCTTTTTTTTAAAGGATGAACAGTATTTCATTGTCTATATATACTTTTTTATCCATTTGTTCGTGATGAAAATGTAAGTTGATCCCATATCTTGGCTATTGAGAACAGTGCTGCAGTAAACATCCGTGTGCAAATTTCTATTTATTCTCATTGCCTCTCTCTCTCAATCGTGCACTTGCTCATGCTTGCTCTCACTCTCTCTCTATTTCTCTCTTTCCAGCAGTGGGATTGTTGGATCATGTGGTAGTTCTGTTTGTAGTTTATTGAGGAAACTCCATACTATTTTCCATGACAGCTATACTAATTTGCATTCCCACCAACCAGTGTGCTAGCATTTTCTTCCTTTGCATATTCACCAGCATTTGTTATTTTTTGTATTTTTGATGATGTCCATTCTAATGAGGTGAAGTTATATTTCACTGTGGTTTTCATTTGCATTTACTTGATGATCAGTGATGTTGAGCATTTTTTCACAGGCTTGTGGGTCGTTTGTATGTCTCCCTTTGAGAAATGTCTTTTCAGGTAATTGCTCCGTTTTTCAATTGACTTTAAAAATTTATTTGTGGCCAGGTGCGGTGGGTCGCACGTATAATCCCAGCACTTTGGGAGGCCGAAGCAGGTGGATCACGAGGTCAGGAGTTGAAGCCCAGCCTGGCCAAGGTGGTGAAACTCTGTCTGTACTAAAAATACAAAAATTAGCCAGGCGTGGTCGTGCACCCCTGTAATCCCAGCTACTTGGGAGGCTGAGGCATGAGAATAACTTGAACCCGGGAGGGGGTAGGTTGCAGTGAGCCAAGATCACGCCACTGCACTCCAGCCTGGGTTACAGAGTGAAAGTCCGTCTCAAAAAAAAAAAAAAAAAAAAATTGCTATCGAGGTGTTTGAGTTTCTTATATATTCCGTTTATTAATCCCTTGTCAAAAGGATACATTGTAAATATTTTCTCCAATTCTGTCACTTGTCTCTTCACTATCTTGACTGTTTCCTGTTCTGTGCAGAATCTTTTTAGTTTGACATAATCCATTTTGTCTATTTTTGCCCTTGTTGCCTGTGTTTTTGAGGTCCTACCTAAGACATCTTTGCCCAGACCAATGCCCTGAAGAGTTTTCCTATTGTTTCTTATAGTTTTATAATTTCAGATCTTCCATTTATGTCAAATCCATTCTGATTTTATTTTTGTGTATGGTGAGAAATAGGGGTCTAGTTTTATTTTTCTGCATATGGATATCCAGTTTTCCAGCACAATTTTTTGAAGAGACTGTCGTTTTTCCCAATGCATGTTCTTTGTCAAAAATCAGCTGGCTGCAAAGATGTGGGTTTATTTCTTTGTTCTCTGTTCTGTTCAATTAGTCTGTGTGTCTATTTTTATCCCAGTAACAAGCTGTTTTGGATACCATTACTTTCTAGTATATTTTGAAGTCAGGTAGTGTAATATCCCTCAGGTTGGTTCATTTTGCTCAAAACTGCTTTGGCTTTTTTGGATCTTCTGTAGTTCCCTATGAATTTTAGGATTTTTTGTTGTTGTTTTTTGAGACGTGGTCTCTCTGTATTGCCAGGGTTGGAGTGCCATAGAGCGATTTCAGCTCACTGCAATCTCTACCTCCCAGGCTCAAGCGATTCACCTACCTCAGTCTCCTGAGTAGCTAGGACCTCGGGTGCACACCACTGCACCTGGTTAATTTTTGTATTTTTTGTAGGGTTGGGTTTTGCATTGTTGCCCAGGCTGGTCTCAAATTCCCGAGCCAGGCGATCCACCCATCTTGGCGTCCCAAAGTGCTGGAATTACGGGCATAAGCTACCGTACCCAGCCATAGGATTCTTTTTTTTCTATTTCTGTGAATAATGTCTTTGGATATTTTGAAAGAGAATGTATTGAAACTGTACATTGCGTTTGGTAGTGTGATCATATACACAATATTAATTTTTCCCACCCATCAAGATGAGATGTCTTTACTTTTTGTGTAACCTTTCCACTTCTTTCATCACTGTTTATAATTTTCTACCCAGAGATTTTTCACTTCTGGCCTGGGACGTGCGCGTCTTCAGGGTGGAAGCCTGGCACACCTCCGGAGGTGCCGAGGAGCCAACCAGCCCAAACTTTGGGGGAAATGAGTCCCTCTGCCCTTGCCCCGCGCTCTGCTAGCATTTCCTTTCCTCTCTACTTTGCTTGGTGATGCAAAACGCGTGAGGCTCACGGCAAGGGGCCGAGGCCGCAGGGCTCTCCGGGCCGGGGCCCACCCCTCATCCACGCAGTACAGCACTGGACGCCCCAGCGGCTGTCCTAAGCAGAGGCTGCCTGGAGCTAAGACCCGCCCTTTCACCCAGCAGGGGTGCCCAGGCCGCGGAGGAGGGCAACATGCAGCTCCGCTTTGCCTGGCTCTCGGGCATGCGCGTTATGACCTGTACAGTGCCTATGGTTACACAATATCACCTATGGAGAAGGCTCTTGTGAAATTGGACATTCAGATAGCACTTTCTTCTCGGTATTATGGAAGAGTAGCTCCACGGTCTGGCTTGGCTGCAAAACACGTAGATGTAGGAGCTGGTGTCACAGATAAAGATTATAGAGGAAATATTGGTGTTGTAGTCTTTAATTTTGGCAAAGAAAAGTTTGAAGTCAAATAACGTGATCGAATTGCACAGCTCATTTGTGAACGGATGTTCTATCCAGAAATAGAAGAAGTTCAAGCTTTGGATGACACCAAAAGGGGTTCAGGAGGTTTTGGTTCTACTGGAAAGAATTAAAATTTATGCCAAGAACAGAAAACGAGAAGTCATACCTTTTTCTTAAAAACAAGGAGTTTTTGCTTAAAGTGTTTTGGTGTTTTGCACTTCTGTAAAGTACTAGCTTTACCTTCTAAAAGTACTGCATTTTATTTTTATGATCAAGGAAAAGATCATAAAAAATATTTCTTTGTGTTTGGATCACAAAGAAACTTTCTTTTTCTGCAATAGTTGTATGTAAATCTACTTTGTAGTGAGCTGATGTAAACAGTGTCTCCTAAAAATCAAATGTAAATCAGTTACAGATTTTTTAAAAATCCTGCATTATTTAATTCAAGAAATGACACCCCTTCAGCAACTTAAAAAAAAAACAAAAAGTGTGTTTTTGGTGTTTTTGGTTTTTGGTTTTTTGTTTTGTTTTGTTTGGAGACGGAATTTCACTCTTGTTGCCCAGGCTGGAGGGCAATGGCCCGATTTCTGCTCTCCACAACCTCCAACTCCCAGGTTCAAGCCATTCTCCTGCCTCAGCCTCCCGAGTAACTGGGATTACAGGCATGTGCCACAAAGCCCAGCTAATTTTGTATTTTTAGAAGACACAGGATTTCTCCATGTTGGTCAGGCTGGTCTCGAACTCCCAACCTCAGGTGATCTGCTCGACTTGGCCTCGCAAAGTGCCGGGATTACAGGTGTGAGCCACTGTGCCCAGCTGTGTGTGTAATTTTTAAGAGAGACGGACTCGCTCTGTTGCCCAGGCTAGTCTTGAACATCTAGCCTCAAGAGATCCTCCCATCTCAGCCTCCCAAAGTGCTAGGATTGGAATGAGACCACCACTTTTCCTGTTGTCCTTCCCAGCTTCTCTGCCACCTCCCCTTTTCCCTAGTTTATAAGACAGGAGAAAAGGGAGAAAGCAAAAAGTTGGAAAGAAACAGAAGTAAGATAAATAGCTAGATGACCTTGGTGCCACCACCTGGCCCTGGTGGTTAAAATAATACTAATGTTAACCCCTGACCAAAACTACTTGTGTTATCTGTAAACTTCAGACATATGAGAAAGCACTGTAAAACTTGTTCTGTTCGCTGATGTATGTAGCCCCCAGTCACATTCCTCACGCTTACTTGATCTATCACGACCCTTTCAAGTGGACCCCTTAGAGTTGTAAGCCCTTAAAAGGGCTAGGAATATCTTTTTCGGGGAGCTCAGCTTTTAAGATGCGAGTCTGCTGACGCTCCCAGCCGAATAAAAACGTCTTCCATTTTTAATCCAGTGTCTGAGGAGTTTTGTCTGTGACTTGTCCTGCTACAGGATTAGAACCATGAGCCAACACACCCAGCCAAAAAGCATCTTTTCTATTTACATTCAGAGTGCATGTAAATTTGAAATTCACTCTACATATAGAAATTATTGACATTATGATGTCAATAAAGTTTATCTCAGAGGTGTTTGAGGTTAATTCATCTGAAGTTTGGAATAGAGTAACAGGCATAAGGGAGAGCTATTTATATCTATTGTTTAAAAGTTTAAGAGTCATTTATATCTATCACCTAAAAGTTTTAGCTTTCCATTTTAAAAGCAACAGTTGGGGACCCAACTTATCCCTGGCCTTAGCCGTCCATGCCCAAGGCATTGTCCCTGGGAAATTCTCAGGAGCTGAGCACAGGGTTGATCCTCACACTCCAGAATGTAGGGAGAATAGAAAAGGAGAGGATTTCTACTGTTCTGTGGGAGCCAGCATCAATTTGCATGTTCCACCCACGCAGGGCTTTGCATTTCACATTCTAGTTCGCATCCCTGTCCCAGAAAATTCCAGGGCTTTTACATTAAAATACTAAAATTAACTTTAATTGCAGGAGCTATCTTAGGTCCAATCACTGTCCCTACTTTGACCCTCTCATAGCGATCCCAGTTCCCAGACCGCTTGGCTGCTGGTCACCGATATGGTCTTTGCTCAAAAACCTGGAAAACAGGCGCGCCCAGAGAGGCAGAAGGAAGCGCAGACCCCGCCGCTCACCGCTCCACCTCGCCCCATCCTCACTTCTCCCGTGCCTCGCCCAGCCCTGGCTTCCGCTGCGCACCGTTTCCTGCAAACCAGGAAGTGAATCGTGGGGAGTGAACTCGCAAGCCCAGTTTCCTGAAGACCCGGAAGTCGCTCGCTTGGGGTGACAGTCTTACAGCATTGGCTGAGTTTCTCTTTCTCTAGATTAGATCCGCTTCCAGCGCTTCTGTACTCAGTGTTGGTGGAGGGGTTCCTACGGACCTTAAAGTCCTCCCGCCTTTCCCTCCACCCTAGGTAAATTAATATGTCGCCAAGAAATTCGGAGGTTAAATCGCCCGGACGCTGCTGGTCCTGCCCCTGGGTTCTCTGCCTTCAGGCCACGTAGACGCTTTTTGTCCTGTTTACCTGCTTACCCTTTGCTGACCACTTCTTCGGTCCCGCGTCATGTAAAAGCCCTCACCCACGAGGTGGATTCATGTCCTCTGGGTCCTCCAAGTCTGGCCCTTCTGGTCCCCTTGGAGCTCAGCCCCGCAGTCCGAATGCATCAGCGCCGTGTCCTCTGCCCGGCCCGGGGTTTTGGAAACCCCATCCCTCTCCTAATCCACCCCAACCCTTGTCCTCCTTGGGCTGGGCCCTTCTGTTCCCCAGGTTTCCCCTTCACAGTCACCGCATTCCTTACCCCGCTTTGAGGGAGCTGACGGGGCCTGACTTTTGACAGTGTTTTTTCGTTCCAAATTGTACCCGCTGGAAAATGTGCTCGTCCAGAGGAAAAACGCTTTATTTAGTCTTTCCTCCTCTGAAACTCAACACGATAGTAAACACTGAACCCAGAATACTTCACCTGTGGTCACCGAATGTGTGGGGATTTCTCCCCACTAACAAGCAGTTCTCTATCAGACACCAACTCCGTGTCCCATAGTTTACCTCATTTCTGACAGCTCTACCTGGAGTAAGCATCAGATCCCACAGATTAAAGGCTCAGTCCGCAAGATTTCTCCACTTCAGATGTCAGTTACAAGTCCCAGGTTGGAACCTGAACTTCTAAGCTACTGGGTATAAATTGAGGATTCCCATGACCCAATCTTCAGTATTTATTAATTTGCCAGAGCAGCTCACAGAACTCAGAAACGTTTTACTTGGATTTACTCATTTGTTTTAAAGGATATTACAAAGGTTGCAGATAAACAGCCAGATGGAATAGCAGTTCTAGAAAATTAATTGAATGCAGGAGGGGATTTGGGAACCATGATGTTTGTCTGGTCAGTCAGAAGTAGAGGTGACAACTACTACTTATGTACAGCTTCTAAGGTGAAGGGTAGTCTTATGGGACTGAACTTTTCACCTATGGGATCTGACACTATCTCCTTGTAGATAGTGTAAGAATTGAGCTAAATTTTAGGATTCTCAGGTGGAAGTCTGCAAGGAACTTGTCAGTGTAGGGAAAACCACACCTTTTCTTGACCAGAAGTAAAGTATTCTGTGTTGAGCATGAGAGCAATAAAAACAGTTTGTTGTTTCCTGTCTCGATGATGGGAAGATATTTGTAACAAATTCACCCACCTATCTCAAGCCCCGTGCTTTCTACTCAGTATTGACTGGAAAGGATCTGTTCCTGCTCTTTAATTTTCTTTCTTTTTTTTTTTTTTTTTTGAGAAGGAGTCTGGCTCTGTCGCCCGGGCTGGAGTGCAGTGGCCAGATCTCAGCTCACTGCAAGCTCTGCCTTCCGGGTTTACGCCATTCTCCTGCCTCAGCCTCCCGAGTAGCTGGGAACACAGGCGCCCGCCACCTCGCCCGGCTAGTTTTTTGTATTTTTTAGTAGAGACAGGGTTTCACCGTGTTAGCCAGGATGGTCTCGATCTCCTGACCTCGTGATCCGCCCGTCTCGGCCTCCCAAAGCGCTGGGATTACAGGCTTGAGCCATCTTTAATTTTCTTGATGTCATCTTCATCTCTTACCATTTTTCTGTGCCGGTATGTCCTGACTCACTGTTTTCTGAATGTGGGAGTGACCCATGGCTTAGTTCTGCAACCATTTTTTTGAGACGGAGTTTCGTTCTTGTTGTCCAGGCTTGAGTGCAATGACGTGATCTCAGCTCATGGCAACCTCCACCTCCCAGGTTCAAACGATTCTTCTGCCTCAATCTCCCGAGTAGCTGGGATTACAGGCATGTGCTACCACACCTGGTTACTTTTGTATATTTAGTAGAGATGGATTCTCCATGTTGGTCACGCTGGTCTCAAACTCCTGACCTCATGATCCACCCACCTCGGCCTCCCAAAGTGCTGGGATTACAGGCTTGAGCCACCACGCCCAACCACTGCCTTTCTTTATCATTTCATCTCATGGCTTTAAACTCCACCTTTATGTCTCCATCCCTTGTAGACTTCTCTCCTAATTTCTAGAATTCTGTGTCCAGTTGTCTCAACTCTCTGCTGGGACATCCAACAGGCATCTCCGTATTTACGTGTCCACTAGTGACGTCCTGAATTCTCCCATGTACACCCCCCTGCAGTCTTGCCTATCTCAGATAAGAGTGACGCCATACTTCTGGGAGCTTAAGTGAACATATTGGTATATATTTAAAGTCTAGGAGACAGTTCCTTTTTGAAAGTGTTTTAACGAATAATATGAAGAAAAAATTACATGATTGCTTAAAATGGGTGAGAAACTAGCATTTCCAAAATTCTTTTGAGGTGAGGGAGAAAAATGTTTAAAGGCCTCTGCCCTATCTGATCTGCACCCCCAGGACCTCTCTGATCTCATCTTCTCCCTGTGTCAGCTTGCTCCCTCTGCTCCAGACACACAGGCCTCTTTCCTTTTCCTGGAGCTGAGGTTGCTCCTGTCTCAGGGCCTTCACCTGGGCTGTCCCTCTGCCTAGGACTCTCTAGCCCCTCAGTTGCAGGTGACAAACATCATCCCTTTCCTAGGTCTGTGTTCTGATGTCACCTTCTCAGTGGAGGTTTATGTGACCCTTCCCTATCTCACCCTCACCAACTCTGGCCCATATTGCCTGCCTTGGATGTTTCTTTCTGCTCCTTTTCTGTCCACTGTCTGGATCTTGGTGACAACAAGGACCCAAGAGGAGAGCAGAGCCACAAGGTGGGGGTTGTTCTGGGCTTGCTCCCTCTGAGTTTAACTCAACCCTGGCTTCACATTAGAATGCTGAGACATTTTGCAAATATATCTCTTGTGCCTCCTTTCCAGAGATTCCCATGCATATAGGTTCGAGTGCAGTGTCCCACATGATTCTAATCTGTATTCATCATTGAACATCAGGGTGCTGTGTCTTCCAGCCTGTGATCCACAGAGAGGGGAAAGGCTGTGCTCTGCATGGGGTTTGGTCAGGGCCATATCTGTGCCCTGAAGGGGAGCTCAGTCCAGTCCAGCACCCTACTGCTGCATCGTGTATGTGGGCTTCTCCAGGAGGGTAGTAAGCTTTGAAGAACTCAAAAACTCACTTGTTCTTCCTGTAGGACTTTCTTGTCTGCATCATCCCTGGTGCTGTGGGCAGCAGAGGGCCATCTTTCCACAGGGCGAGGTCTCTCCTGTGTGTGTGGTTGTGGCACAGGGAGCAGGTGTGTTGATTTTTAGCAATAAACAGCATATTTTGAACACTCCAGCTTAACTTCCTTTTAAAAATTTTTTTTTTCTTTCAGGATTAGCTCCTAAAGCCTCTTTCATCTCTCCTAAGGAAGAAGCCTAGAAGAGGAGGAAGAGGAAAGAAAAGGAATCAGGAACGGCTCTTACTCAGGTATGGTGATATTCTCAGTGGACTGTTCTGTGTCTCTTTCCTTTTTGAAATGCCACAGGTGGTGTTATCATATATATTGGTTTCCATTGATGGTTCCTGGCTCATAACCTCCATAGCCCTTGTTACAGTCTTTTGTTATAATGTTGGGTGTGTTAAGCCTGGTGGTAAGCCCAGTGGGGGCATGGAAACTCTGCATCCCTCAGGGGGCATGGAAGCCCTGCACCCCTTCCTCCATACCTTACCACAAGTGCCTCTTCATCTGTATCCTTTGCAGTATCCTTTATAATAAACTGGTAAAGGTAAGTAAGTACTTCCCTGAGTTCTGTGAGCCAATCTAGCATGTTAATTGAACCCAAAAAGGGGGTCGTGGGAACCCCAATTTGAAGCTGGGTGGTCATAAGTTCTGAAGGCCTGGACTTGTGACTGGTGTGTGTGGAGGCAGTCTTGGAGACTGAGCCATCAACCCATGTGATCTGACACTGTGTCCAGGGAGACAATGTTGAAAGTAAATTGGAAGATACCCAGCTAGTGTCTGCTGCTTGGCGTGTGGGTAAATAACCCATGTACATTTAGTCACAGAGGTCTTCTGTGTTGATGAGTGTTGTGGTATGAGAGTAGAGGAAAAACACGATTTGAGGAGAGCTTTTCCCTGTACATACCGGGCATTGGAGATGTCAGTCTTCTCTGAGTCTGAAGCATCCTGCCTGTCATGTTTGCTCACGCTCACCCATGTCTTCCCTCAGTCCCTCTCATGTCACTTAAATTCCGTCTCACAGTGACCGGTCATATGGAATTTGTGAAGAGGCTCCATTGGGAAGGGCTTATACCCAATCATGGACAGAGACAGGGTGTGGGCCCCATGGTGTCTCTGCTATTGGGCAGCAGGGATTGAGGGATTGTTTAAGGACCAGGTGTGGATGCACTGCCAGCTCTCTGTAGACTGGATTATAGAAGCTGCACGTGGAAGTCTTAATGTGCACAAATGCATGATAAAATTTAGAAGAGATTAGGAAGAGGAAATCTTTTCTGCCTGATTTTATACTCCATTTGTAATAAATATTTAACAACAAGAGATTCTTTAAACCATTCTAAGTACATCCATTCCATGGAGACTGTGTTATTCCTACAGAGACTCTTGTGAGACAGATGTTTCAAGTGAAAATGGTAAGACTTGAGTAATACTTCTTCTAGGATGGGGCATTTCCTATTTTCTTAGATCTTGCAAGGTTCTCCTGTTATCCCCAACTGCAAGGGTACCTCTCTCACCAAGAACATGTTAGATTTTCCCCCTCATTTTAAAAAAACTTGCTACTATATTTATATATATATTTTGAAAATCTGGGGAAAATGACAACCCTCTATATTTTCATTTTTTCAATTTATTGTCAGTCTACATAGGTTTTATTGTTTTGGGGACATGTATATATAAAATGAATTTTCATACCTTGCTCAATTTTCTTTTTTTTTTTCTTTTTTTTTTTTTTGAGACAGAGTCTCGCTTAGTCGCCCAGGCTGGAGTGCAGTGGCGCGATCTCGGCTCACTGCAAGCTCCGCCTCCCGGGTTCACGCCATTCTCCTGCCTCAGCCTCCCGAGTAGCTGGGACTACAGGCGCCCGCCGCCTCGCCCGGCTAATTTTTTTTGCATTTTTAGTAGAGACGGGGTTTCACCGTGTTAGCCAGGATGGTCTCGATCTCCTGACCTCGTGATCCGCCCGCCTCGGCCTCCCAAAGTGCTGGGATTACAGGCGTGAGCCACCGCGCCCGGCCTCAATTTTCTTTCCATGTATTTTAGTATCTGTTTTAATTCCTGTGGTTTTTATTCTTTACATATGCCCTGATGTCTTTTATTTTAGGTTATACATTTTTTAAGTGTAAGACAAATCTTTCCTTTATACCTTCTGATTTTTGTTGTGCCTTTGTTTGTTTCATCTTGATTTGGAAGGCCTTGCATGATTATTAAGTACTAAGTTTCATTTAGGAATAAAGTTTTGTTGTTTAAAATTTTGTTTACATCTGTGTTTAATTTGAATTTTTGTGTATATCATAAGTATTTTATTTGATTCATTATAAAATTACAGATGTTTGTTATAAAAGGTTCTTACATATTTGGCAAACCCCTCCATTTTGTTTTTCTTTTCAAAATCATATTGGTTCTCTTTTGACAGGACATAGTCATTAAAAACTCATATACTTCTTTTGTATTTGAATGGCTGTGGATTCCTAGTCAGAGAGGTCTTTGTGTCACCACATCTGCTAATAAGAATTGGGTTTTCTGGTCCATGTTCCTGTCTTTGTTATGTCTGTTAGTAAAGTTTATTTGCCTGTTTATAGTTCAGTAATGTTAAGTACATTCACATTACTGTGCAACATATCTAGGAATTTTTCATCTTGCAAAACTGAAACTGTATACCCAGAATACACTACATCCCTTCTGACCTCACTATAGCCTCTGTCAACTCATCTTTCTATGTCATGTTTATATGCATTCGACTACTTTAGTATCCCATGTGAATGGAATCACACAGTATTTGTCCTTTTGTGACTGTCTTATTTTCCCTAGTGTAATGTCCTCAAGGTTCATCCATGTTATAGCATATGACAGGATTTTCTCCTTTTATAAAGCTGAACAATATTCCATTGCATGTGTATACCACATTTTCTTTATCCATTCATCTGTAGATAGACATGTTAGTTTTTCCATCTTCTTAGCTCTTGAATATAATGCTGTGATGAGCAGGGATTTGCAAATATCTCTTTGAGGGCCTGCTTTCAAGTCTTTAATGTGCGTATATATATATACACACACATATATATACACACACACACATATATACACACATATATGTGTGTATGATCCAGCTACCATATGATCCGGCAGTCTCACTTCTGGGTGTGTGTATATATGTGTGTGTGTGTATATATATATGTTTTTTATTTTGTTTTATTTTATTTTTTTGAGATAGAGTCTTACTCTGTCGCCAGGCTGGAGTGCAGTGGTGCAATCTTGGCTCACTGCAACCTCTGCCTCCCAGGTTCAAGTGATTCTCCTGCCTATTGATAATGGCCATCCTAATGGGTGTGAGGTGATACCTCATTGTAATGTTGATTTGCATTTGTCTTATGATTGGTGGTGATGAGCATCTTATCATGTGCTTGTTGGCCATATTGTCATCTTCTTTGGAATAATGTCTATTCAGTTCCTTTGCCCATTCATTAATTGGGCTATTTATTTTTAGTGTTGAGTTGTAGAAGTTACTTGATAATCTATTAATGCCTACCAGATATATGATTTGCAACTTTTCTCCCATTCCATAGGTTTGCCTTTTCTTTCTTTTGATTGATTCCTTTGAAGTGCAAAAGCTTTTAAGTTGGATGTAGATCTGTTAGTTTTTTGCTTTTCTTGCATGTGCTTTTGGTATTATATCCACGAAATCTTTTCCAAAACCAATGTCATGAGGTTTTCTTCTGTTCCTAGTTTGTTAAGTGTATTAATCCAGAAATGCTGTTGAATTTTTCCTAATGCTCTTTTTGCATCAATTGAGATGATGGCATGGTTTTTGTCCTGAATTATATTAATAGTAGTGGTATAGTTTTTGTTGGGGACCAGCCTCAACACCACCCCTTTTTTCTTTTTTAAAACCACCATTGCTATCATGGCTTGTTCGTGTTGTCTGGTCTCTCTCCAGAGGTGTCTTCCCTGTCTGCAGACTGAAAGCAAACAGCATAAACAGATACACATTAAAGCAAAATTTGCAGTAGTTGATCCTACAGTGGTCTTAACCTATTTAAGAGGATTTACGTTTGAAAGTCCATCAGCAGCTCCAGCTAGGATGTCAGTACCAGGCAGTAGAGTTAAATGAGCCTGAGATGCTTCAAAAACCTGTTCATTTAATTTGGCTATATCCAATGTTAAATTTCCATCCCTTTCTTCCAGATGATGTCAAACTTTTTCCCAATGATGTTCTGTAGCATTATATGAATGAGGAGTTATGCAGAAATTAGAAGTATTTCCAATCACATTACATTTGCAGTCGATGCTCTAAGCTCATTATACAATCTCCCATCCATATAACAGTCTGTCTAAGATCATTTATTTGATTTGCCAATTTTTGGTGTATTTGAGTCTGAGAATTCCATAATTTAAAGGAATTATTTTGCCAATTATTTATATATTCTGCAGTTTGAACAGAGGAATGTAAAGCAATTCCAGCAACTGCAGCGGTAGCTGTGACTGCAGAGAGGCTCATAATGACTGCTATAATGGTAAAAATAAATCTTTTTGTTGTGGTAAACACCCCCTTAACATTTCTGTGATGATATGAATGGAAGGAGAGGCTTCCCAAGGTCTATTGAGGGAAACCGGTATCCAAGTTCCTTTTCTGGCCCTTATCAGCAACACAGATGTTTTCACACCAAACATGGAATCAATACAGGTGAAAAGGTGACAGTTTTGACAATTAATAGTTTGAGAATTGGGTCAAATATGAATATTTCCAACCATCAACATAAAAGGAGGCTTGACACACCTCTGAGTGGGTACTGTTAGGTTGGAAGAAAACTGATACACAAATTGAAGTCTCACCTTTTCCCTCAAAATAATATTTTCCTTCCCAAACCCTAATATGAGATTGGGCCATCATTAACTTCCATAATTCAGGGTGTCCAGGGCCTATTATTGGATTAATTATTTTTGGATGTGGGCCGGCCATATCAAAATTGGTCAAAATTATGGGAAAATGAACATGCTTTTCAGTGTAAGTAGTGTCATCTCTTTGATAGTATAGATCCTGTTTTAGTTTTGTCTTGCATCTATCATTCTGATTGGTACAATTAACTGCAAAGGTCCCCTTAGGGGACCAATCAATGATGATTCCATAGGAATTATTTTGCAGTAGCACACCGTGGTCAGCCATGCAATCTTTCCAAATCAGCATTTCTAAATCCTTTGACCATTGTTGAGATTGTTGGCACCTCTTTTCTGGTCTTAAACTGTTCCAGTT